GGCAAAGTAGTAGCTTCTTACTACCTGTATCTGAAGGAGGTCTTGCCTGAATTCCCAGAGCCTGTGACTGTATTAAATGGCAAGGGATTAACTAAGACTGCTGATCAGTAGACCTTAAAGTGAGGTGATTATTCAGGTGAGCTTGGTGTTATCACAAGCACCCACAGCAGAGGGCAGCAGAAGAGTCAGAGTCAGTCTTGACTTCTGTCAGTTGGCAGCTGTCTTCAAAAATGGAAGGTTGGCCAGGTCTGGTAGTGAAGCCTGTAGTCCCAGCTACTCTGAAAGCTCAGGCAGGAAGATGGCTTGATCTCAGGAGTTTAAGGCTAGCTTGGCAATATAGTTAAAACTGGATTAAAAATAGAATGTGGGGGCAGCCCCTGAACACTGGAAAAGGCAGGGAAATGGGCTCCTGTAGAGTCACCAGAAAGAGTGAACCTCTGCCAGCACCTTCAGTTTAGTTAAGTGATACCCATTTCAGACTTCTGACCTTTCTTTTCATAGTAAATTTTTGTTGTTTTCAGTCACTGTGTGTGATAATGTGTTACAGCAACAATAGGAAATGTAGACAGAACACTCAGACTTTACAGTGGGAAGACTGTGAATGCCATTAGAGGATGCATTCAATCTGTGGAGTGTTTGAAGACTCAGACCAATGGTCTAGTCAAGAGCTTGTGTCCTCTGAGAAGAAGGTGCCCTAGATGGGTGGGTTGGAGCTCTGTTGGCTGGAAATATTTGTGAAGAATGTAGGGGAGGGAACAGGATGAGGAACAGAAGGAATGGGTAGAAAGAGTTCGGCTTATAGCACAAGTCTGCTATTTTCCCTCCTCCCTCATGGTGCTGTGCAAAAGCTAGTGCTTTATCACTGAGCTACATTATTGGCCCATTTTGACAAAATTCTTGATTAGTTTTTGAGACAAGGTCTCACACATTTGGCACAATTCCAGGAAAGCTTCTGCCAGGCTGATGAGAATTATTTTTCTGAAGTTGACCATGTAAAATTTTGTAGAAAACATTAGTTTTTAGACTGAGCCCTTGCACTGGGCCCAATAGACCAAGCCAGTAGAGTTTAACCACAGTAATAGGTTTGGGATGGTAGCCAGTTTATTGATGAGGGCCACGGGTGGTGAATCTGTGTCTTGTGTGCTACAGTGGGCTGTTTATCAGTGAAAGCTTAAAGGGTTTGCCATCACACAATTAGACTATAAACAGTGAATTAGGTGAACTGCAACTAATTGACTGCTTCAATAGATTTTTGTTGCCTTCACTTTTTCTACAAAAACTGATGGTGTTGGTTAGAGTACTCACAGTTGGTCTGGAAGTTGCCCCAGTTGTGAATTCTTTTAGCCATGTTCAAAGAAACTATCAACTTTTATTTGTCTAAGGAACTTTCCTTTGAATACTCATTAGAGAAATCATCTAACCTGTAGGAATAGGGCTGAAGTAATACAGTAGTTTCTCTTTATCTGTGGGGGATTGTTCTAAGACGCTCCCCCAAACCCACAGCTGATTGCTGAAACTGGATATCACTAAATCCTAAAAATACTGTTTTTTTTCCCCATATATACATAGCTATAAGGTTTAATTTATAGGCTAGAATATTAACAACCTAGGCATGGTGGTACACCCCTGTAATTCCAGTCTCTGGGAAGCTAAGGTGGAAGATTGCAAATACAAGTCCAGCCTACCAGAAATGTACTAATAAGAAATTATAACTGTGTTGTAATAAAAGTAAGTTAACATTTATGAGCAGCCTTGGTGTTCTTAGTGTACTGTTTTCTAGCTTGGGAGAGTGAAACTGTGGGTTAGGAAAGGCTTATGCTGCCCAGCTCATTATGAACTAGTATAGCCCTGGTTATACCAGTTCATACTGGTATATAAAAGAGAAGGCTTTTTGAGTGGTAGATTAGAGGGATGATAGCCAGCACTATCAGTGGCGCTTCCTGAAGCAGGAAATCTGAATTAGTATTTAAGGCCATCACAAGGGGAGTTTTGGAAAGGTCTAAGAAAAGTTAGAGTTCTCCATGATCCAAGAACTCAGTCCAGGCCTACTGACAAACAGTTGTTTTAGTTCAGCAAGTGGTTTTCCTGTTCCTGAATTAGTTGACCTCTTCACACCTGGGGCTCACTTAGACTCATCATATTCAGCCTTGCTATGTAGAAACTCTTGCATTCTAATCTTTATTATTTACATCAAAATTTGGTGTGGTATTATTGGAGGCAGATTTCCTGATTGCATTAGATGGAACATTTTAGGGAACGTTATTCTTTTCTTTTACTCCAGGTATTATTTACTTTTGATAGAGAGAGGCGTTATCAGTGAATAAAAAGGGTGGCTTTTTTCCCCCTCTTCTCCCTCCAGCTTTTCTACCAGTGTGGAAGACATTTGCAAAGGTAAAAGATATTTGCAGAGAGCACCCGTAAGTGTTCCATTATCTCAATTCAAAAGAATGTAACAGGTTTTAGATGGAGTGTGAGGATTGTGCTCATGGGAATGATTTTGTTATTTGAAAGGGATAAAGGGAAGGGGAAAGGATTATTTTCTTTGTTCAGTTTGGCTGTCTTCTGCTGTGGCTTCCAGTGTTCCTTGATATAACTGATGTCTCAGTTGTGGGACAGAATACCAGACACCCAAAGTTAAGGAAGGAAAGGTTTAATAGCACATAGTTAATGGAGGTTTCAGTCCATATTTGGCTGGCTCGTGGCAGAGTGGCACATGGCACAGGGCAGCTGTTCATGGCAGCAGAAGACAGCAAAGAGCAGAGGGAGGAGCAGCGACTGTGGCAGCTAGCAAGCCTTTCTCCGTTTTCCTCGTTATAGTCAGGTTATCTGCCCCAGTGCGCCTGTAGCACTCACACCCATAATTCCTGCATTGGATCATGAATTAATCATAAACTCTAGAAGCTGCCCCAATGACTGCATGAGGCTTTGGGAGAACAACTAGACACACACTGTAACAGCTGAGAATCTTTTAGAGGAGAGTTGGAAGTCTTTTTCTGTGAAGGGTCAGATAGTCAGTCTTGGGCTTCGTGGGCTATACGGCCTGTCGCATCTATGTAAGCCAGCATGTAAAGACTACCCGTAGCTGCGCTTCAGTAAAACTATTTAGAAAAACAGGCAGCAGATTGGAATTGACTTGTAGGTTGACTCCAATTCTAGGCATTAGCAGAATTAAAATTTCCAGTTTTTTGTTGTGATTTCTTTGAAGATTGTAGTGCACAGCTCTGCATTACAATGGTTGACAGTAGTGTGCTGGAACACTTAGCATTCTCCTCGTTTCCTTCTGGAAGGTTAACAGGCCTTTGAAAAATGTGTCATTGTTTGGGTAGCGCATCGTGCTTGGGTGGTGTCTGGAGGAGGACTGCAGAGCAGTTGCCTTTCGTCTTCCTCCTCTCCTCCTCCTGTAGGTCTTCCTTCCCCACGAAAGTGCTTCGTCAGCTTGTGTTGATCAGTTTGTTGACTGCACAAGTGCAGAGGAGGAATTCATGTTATCTTAATGTCCTATTTGAAAGAGTATTTTTCAATTGAGATTCTTTGCTGGGACAGTAGGTTATATGAATAAAGAATTCTTTAAGGCTGATTTTACCTCCTCTATAATATCTGACGGGATTAAGAGAGCTTGTAGGGATTAAGATGTTTTCATATCTATATTTTCAGAATTTGTAGGCAGAGTAATCTATCCTGCACTAGATTAACTATTGTGAAAAGATGCTGTGTAGATTGTAAAATGAAATACAGTTGTCATTCCCTTATTGCCTAGAGTGTAATTTAAATAAATGAACCCTGCAAATGCAGCTTTTCCCTTTTGTGTGCCATGAATAATTTGATAGCATATTCCCAGATTTGAACATTAGTTCCTCCATTTAGCATCTATAGTAAAATAATTCTTCTGGGTATCTAAAATGAAATTCAGGAAATTGAGTTTATGCTAATGAGAACAGCAGAAATGACTATTTGAATAATGTAAAGTTAAAGGGCAAAATGTTACTTATTGTGGCTTCCATGCATGACCCAGATACTTCTGGTTATTTTGAAATAATGCTCCTTTTTCATTACACCCCAGATAAATATTAATCAAGGTGGATTTCGTGTGCCACTGACTATGGCTAAAACTTTAGAGATGTTTGTGTTATCAGGCTACGTGTCTCCAGCTAATTTCCGTTTCTAAGATGTGTAAATAGAGCTATTATCATGATCAATGGTTTGTAGTAATATTGGCTCTTATTTTTTAAACAGTTAGCCCTTGAAGGATGACAGTATATGAATTTTCCTCCCATAGTTGCTGTAGTATGAGTTACTATGTTAATGTTTTAGGTGTGAAAGATAATTCAAGACAGCATACAGTGTGTGTTGTGTGTGTGCTTTGAGTGAATTTTTTGACCAGTTTGGGTGGTTATAAGTTTATATTTTTGTTTCAGCTCAGTTTACTTGAAATGTATTTCTTTTTTTTTTGTAAACAAAATGTATTTCAATGTATTTGGTTGTTCAATGTATTTGGTTGTTGCAGGCTCTCACTACGCAGCTCGGACTCATGGTGATTCCCCTGTTTTCAGCCTCTCCAGCACTGGGGTCCAGACTCTGCCTGGCTCAGCCTGCCCTGGGGGTAGGGCTAGCCTGTTCATGTGGTACCTGGGATTGGATCATGGTCCCTGCACTTGCCTAAGCAGGTGCTTCAGTCTGCTGAGCTATTTAACCAGCCCTGGAAATGCATGTCATTGTAGGAGGAATGATGGCTTTATTTAGAAGTGAATGGTTGGGGCCGGGGAGATGGCTCAGTGGAATAAGTGCTTGCCTGGCAATCACGAGGACCTGAGTTCAATCCTCGGTTCTGAAAAATAAAAAAATAAAAAATAGAAGTGCATGGTTGAATTAAATCCTACAATATAAGGATATACTGGGCAGCCTAAGTAGAGAAAAAAAAAATCTTACTATCAAACAAATACATGATTCCATGGATTATTTTGTCCTCTCTGATATTGTTTTCTTTGATATCTTTTTTCCAGATAAATGTAAATGCAATTACAAGATTTTCGGATTTTCCCTTGTCTAAAAAAACATTAAAAGGTAGGTATATGATAATTTGGGACAAGTTATTGAATTTGCTCTTCTCAGGAGGGTAGTTTTGAGAGACATTAACCTGAAAAATCTTACTTTAGCAACAATTTGATATTATGAAAACCTATAATAATGCTGAAATTTGAGCCAGATGTGATAGCACATGCCTGTGTTTCCAGAGAATGGTATAGGAGGTTTGCTGTGAATTCAAAGCCAGCCTGAATTAGATAGTGAGACCATGTTTCAATAAAATAAAACTATGGGGACTCCTTGGTGTCTCATTGTACTCTGGGGAAAAGCAGCTACAGGAATTAGGAGAAAATAGACAAGAAGACAAGAGTTGGGTCAGGTGGTGGTCTATGCCTGACCGGCAAAGGACCCCAGGACAATAGTAGGGGCAATTATCTATACCTTTGTAAAATTAGTACCTGGCGGCACAAAGTTGCCTAGCGACTGGTAGCTGAAATTGACCAGGCAGGGTGTTTTTCTCAAGACTGAGGTAGCTTGACTGCTTTAGGCACTGTGGCCTTGTCCTGCCCTCTCACATATTATCAATTTTCAGTGTCATCCCTTCTAACACAGAAGACCTAAAAAACTGCGATTTAATAACTTGTCACTCCCACTGTTTTTGGACTGTTAAAGAACATTAAAAAGATTTCAGGAACCTCCAACTAATTCAAGTGAAACCTAACTATGTTTTGAAATAATAAGAGAATGAACAAAAATATATACCCTTTATATTAGTTTTCTAGTGAAGCTGTAATAAAATAGCCGATTGGGTGGCGTAAGCATGGGTGGCGTAAGCAACAGTGAATATTTTCATGGTTTGGAGCCTAGAAATTCATTTTGCTGGTAGGCTTGGTTACTCTCACAGACGTAAGGGAGGATCTGTTCCAGTCCTCCCTCTCTGCTTTAGAAATGACCTCGTGTGCCTTTTTTTCTTTTTTTTGGCCACAACAATTGTTTGTTTTTATAGTGTACAACATGAAGTTTTAAAGTATGCATACATTGTGGGATGGCTAAATCAAACTACGTAATATATAGATATGTATTGTCGCAAATACTTATTTTTTCTTCATGGTAAGGACACTTACAATCTGTGAGTAGTTTTCAAGTACAGTATATTATGATTAGTACAGACTTTGTGATGTGCAATAGCTTATTCCACTTGTCTAACTGGAAATTTTGTTCTTTGGGCAACATCGTCCCAGTTTCCCCATGTCCTAGCCTGTGGTAATCGCCATTGCAGTCTCTGCTTCAAGTTTGTTTTTTTAGTGCACGTATCATCTGGTGTTTGTCTTCTTGAACTTCCCTTATTTCATTTAATACATGTGCTCTCCAGGTTCACCCTTATTGTCACCAATGACAAGATTTCCTTTGAAGACAGTGATACCTGTCTGTCTCACTCATTGTCTTTTCACATGGTCAGCCCTGTGCTTGCCTAAGCAGGTGCTTAGTCTGCTGAGCTATCCCGCTGGCTCTAA